CACCCACATACACACACAGTGTTCATTTATATTGTTCTTATGGTATTTCAGTTATTTTAATACATTAAATGGAGTGCGATCGTGGAGGGGAAGGGGGTGCGGAGTCGGGGTGGTGGTGGGTGTGTGAGGTACAGGTAGGTGGTGTGAGGTAGTAATGGTGACGGGAGTGTGGTGTTGGCGGGTGTGTGAAGTACTGGCGGTGACAGCAGTGTGGTGGAGGATGGTGTTATGTAGTGGTAGTGACAGAAGTGTGATGGTGTGAGCTGCGTTATTGTTATTTTTCAATTCATATTTTTGGGTAGATATACGTAATTTTCTTAAATATTTTTAATCAGTTTCATGCATACACAATCATTAATATAAAATGTAAAAACAAAATATATCAAGCTAAAAAACATAATGGTAAAAAACATTTCTTACGTGCACATAGTTAGAGCACGGACTGTGGGAGGAGGGAGTAGTGTTGGAGGTCTCCGCCGCTCAAGTCTCCAGGGTTTAGTGAAACTATTGCCAATTCAATGCAGTACAGTATTTTTATTTTTTAGTTTTAATTATTAGTATAATTTTGATTAATTTATTACATATACTGGTTCTACAGTATACATGCAACTCTGGTCCCTAATAACTTCAGATAATGAGGAGTGAATATAAAAAAATATGTGGTGAAAGTTACTTGCTGGGAATGCATCCCCCACTATTTACATTAAATCTTGTGGGGAAAATTACCTCGATATTCGCAATGACTTTTAGAAGTGTATCCTTTGCAATAACTGGGGTGAAGTATTCCTGTAGTACTTGCCACTAATTCATAACAGTAAACAGACTGAACACACAAACAGTTCGAAAGCTGACAAGTGAAGAGGACAAGGAAGTAGGTGAAGAAAGCCAACCAGACTCTGTGAAACATAAAATCTACCCTTAAATATAATGATAAGAAAGGGCTCTACATCTAGACATCCCACTCGGACTACTGTATCAAAGCATTGAGGTAACACCTTCAAAAAGTTAAGATTTCACCATAAGAAACATAATGCTGGGCAACTAGAATTATTCAAGAAATCTGAAGGCTTTGGGACTGACATGAAAGAGTAGAGCTCAAAGATTGAAAGTGTTGAACTCAACCACTACTTCAAGATGCCAAGCACTGCAAATGCAAGATGTTATAGCTTAGTAGTTATAAACTTTCTTTGATGTTATACAGAATGGCTATTAGGAAGTACTTCTTCTTACAGATGCTGGTAAACCTATAGAACTGTTTATGGAAGAAGCCTTGGGCAGTGGCAGTATCATAACCAATGAGGTTTATCCGAGGTGTGTTATTATGTAAAGTTTGACTATCATTTATAGATTGATTGGGGATTGGGGGAGGGCGCCCCCTCCCCATTGTGATGATTGCCTGGTCCCAATGACTGTTCAACACCCCCTGATGGAGTGCACCATTCTTAGAGATCTTTGTTGTAAGCACCTCTCCGAGTGCCGGTGGGGGGAGGGGGGTGGGGACTTGCCATCTCTCTTTGGTGTTGGGGAGGAGAGCAGGTAGTGTGAAAGGGGATGTCCTCTCCTTTGTGGAGGAAATCAGCCTTCTACTCAAGCTTTGAGTTTTACCTAATAATGTTTAAATGGTTTTTACAAAAGTTCTATGCTATTTAATGTTTTTTACCTTGCATTATTTGTTGTTTGCTTTCTAAGCTTTTAGGTTAATTTGGCGGCATATGATCTAAGCCGTTGCATCGTCAGGGGTATAATTACCACAAACAATCAATCTTTTCTTCGATAGAGTGATCATTTGTGTTGTTGGTCATTAGGTAAATGATGCAAATTAGGCAGGTAAATATCTCCCTGGTCATTGTTGGATCGTACACATGATTGTTTCAGGTATAATGACATATGCCCCTGCTTACTGCAGTACTAGATGACCAATTTGATATATAAAATAGGAATCAGATGTAAATGCCAAATTGACAATAATTTGTTGATCAGATTTGAATAGCCAGTATGACACCACATTATGGATCTCAATTTATCAGATTTGGATGGGCAGCAAGACAATAGAGCTTTTAAAGAATCAGATTTCAAATGCCATTACTGTACTGTACCGTATTGTATTGTACTGTACTGTACTGTACTGTACTGTACTGTACTGTATTCCTATTTACCAGCAGATCACAGCCACTGCTTAGTGGATGTGGTGTTCGTGCCCTCAAGTGCATCAACTGTGACTACATCACTCATGACATGACAACCTTGCTGGACCACCTGGACACTCACTTCCCCATCCGCACCTTCCTCTGTGTTCACTGTACTCAAGCCTTCCCAGGACCCAGGGAACTACATGCACATACCCAGCCTGGCCAATGTCCCTACAGGGAACCTTGACTACACAACAAGCACAGTACTGTAGTTTATTCTGTAACATGCAGTTGAAATGAAGGGCTTGTAGAAAACAGCTGCATACTAAATATATTTTACACGATTGAAAGAAATAGTAACTTCAGTATAAGAAAAAGACTTAGGAACTCTTTGACAGTTGATGTATCAATAATGTCTTATTCAATTTTAGCACCCACAAGAAACATCACAGCTGTATATGTAGATTGGTTCTTGGTTGCTGAGTAGTGGCATAACATCATTAGCAATCAGTCAATTTCTGTGAACTGTGATTGATGCTATAAGTGCTAAAATTGAGGGAAGCCTATTCAGTAGGCACACATTGCTGTCAACATCGGATGACCATTGGGTTAGTCAGTAAATTAGTTCATTTAGTAATGATCCCAATGATCTTGGTTGTTCCATGCCCACATATGTGCTCAATACTTCAGTCTCAGTACCTAGACTTCTGCCTTTCATGTACTAAGATTGATTAAAGCTACAACATGCACTGTGTTAACATTATTTACAGGTACATTAGTTCACCTATTGCTCCTACTGATGGTAGGACTGGAACATTACTTTGTCCTCCCCATCTTCCTGTATCATGACTGCTTGGCCTCTTCTGATCTTTAGTTGAACATTCCCATATTGTGGGTTGCTGCATAACTCTTTCATTTTGTCTCTAAACTCTTTATTGTTGTTGTTTTTGTATTTGTGAATTATCAGGTTGGTGGCGATGTAGACATTGCTGTACTTTGTTAATGCTTGAGGTTCCATGCCTTCTTCAAAATATCCCTTATGTGCTCATGTTTTGGGATGGTGATGCTCACTAACTGCATTGTTCATTTATTTAGTCTTAACACATTTGTGATGTGCAGCTATTCTACAAAGGTCATCACATTTCTTATCATCTGTTGAACTGTTTGTTCATCTGTCTCTCTTTCCTTCTTCTTTAGATTTTTTATAATGAGGTTGTCTTTGCATTTGTTATTTCAATTGTTTTCTCTCATCTCCTCTTGCAGATTTTGTGTTACGTTAACCCTCAGTGGCAGATCCAGGGGGTTGTTCGGGGGTCCCCCCTTTTCATATAAGACCCACCTGGCGTCACGTTAGACAAAATCACGTAAGGTCAAATCTCAGCTCGTGCACATTCCTGGATAGTGGTATAACATTTAAATGGGCTGCTTGCCATCAGTGTACCAGGATTAGTGACCCATATTAGGTGGAGGTAATTTATCTGTACATTAACACCCACCTCTGCTCAGTCAGGTCAAGTTGTCAGCATTTCAAAGGAACTGTCAGGTGAGAGGCTGTAGGTGCAAGGTGAAAGGAATTATGAGCTCACATGACATGGGAGGTGGATGATGGAAATTAGGGTTGGTGATCACAAGTATTGGCTCTGATGCAGATGAATCACACAAAGGAATTAGGCATCAGCAAAATTGTAGACAGTCAGACAGTTTTGCCATTGAGCAACACAGATATATCTAGTGATATCCCCGTTAGCCGGAACAATTGGTGCAGAGCACTTCTGGAAATGAGAAATTTCCGGGTAACGAGACGACTCTCTCAAAACCAGAAAAAAAAATCCCTCATCCCCGAATTTTCCGGGTAATGGAAAAATTCTCTCGGAAGTTCCAGAAATTCCCCATTACATCATCTCTCGAGCCCGGAAAACTATCCCTCATCCCCGGAATTTTCCAGTTAATGGAAAAATGTCCTCAGAATTTTAAATGCCCATTACACCAACTCTCAAACCCGGAAAAATATCCCTCATCCCCGGAATTTTCCGAGTAACAGAAAATTTTTCTCACACTTTCCAGAAAATGCGCCTGATTTTCATCTCTCAAATCCAGAAAAAAAAACTCCCCCATCCCCGGAATTTTCCGGGTATCAGGAAAATTTTCTCAGAATTTTCCGGAAAATGTGCCCCTCGGAAAATCGTTCTCAAAGCAAGAATTTTCCAGAAAAATTCCGGCTTTGGGAACAATTTTCCGAGAAAATTTCAATTCCAGCTATCGGAGAGTTGCCAGGTTTGGGTGATTCCGGCTATCGGAGATATTACTGTATATACACCAACCTCTTGTTTTACGTGGGGGCTAGGTTCTTGAAAATCACCGCTTAATTAAAAAACGAGTAAATTAAAAAATTTTCCCAGAAGAATACATGTAAATGGTACAGGTTAGGGGGAGCAGGTTAGGGAAACCATCACATACCGTACAGCAGTGATTTACAACCCTTTTCATCTCACAGCACAGTGAGCCAGGCACTAAAGTGATCGAGGCACACCATCAGTATTTAAGGATAGATTTGATCATTTAAAAGAAAATGAATGATAAAAATGTGTTCATAATTTAAAAAACTAATAATTTATTAATTTTATTACCAAAAGTATATTGTTGATCATGATTTTCAAATAATTTGAAAGTTTTGTGCATATTTGTTATTACTATACATTGAAACGAGATGTCATTGAAAAAGATGCCATTCATTAAAAAATAATATGAAACTTTCAGATATATATTGTATTCAAATACAAACATGAGTAAAAATAAAAGGCCTTTGCTTACATAACAATATCAGTGGGAAACCTGTGCTTGGTGTTGTCTCATGATGTTCCTTGTCCGAGTTCAAATGGTTGACAGGCATACCCTCAAGTCCTCCTCCAGTGTTTGAAGCTGCGACCTGTTCTTGCTTTTCATTGTGTTCATAGCAGAGAAACCAGCTTCACACAGATACAATGTGGAGAAAGGAAGAAGTGCTTCAATTGCCTTCTTTGTAATGATGGGGTATTCCTCTCGAATGGACAACCAGAATGAAGTCATATCTGTTGATAGTTGCTTCAGTTTCAGTCCTCTGTCGTTTCTGGTTTCCGTCAGCTCATCCTCTTCGGCAACAGTTAATCCTGCTGACTCGCACGCACTTACCGACAAACTTTGTAAAATTAAACTGACAAGATTTTTGTCCAGTCTGCAACCTTTTGTCAGTTCAAACATTTTAACTTTGTTCTCTTTTTTTATTCTGGCTCCCCACAGTGTTAGTTTTTCCTTAAAAAAGCTAACTTTGTCAGTACAAGTCAGAATATTTTCATTCTTTCCCTGCATACTCTTATTAAGAGTGTTCAAGGCTTGGGATATATCAGCCAGGAATGCAACTTCATTGCACCAGGTTTCATTACTAAGCAGGTCAGCCAGTTCAAACTCTTCTGATGTCAAAAATATAAGCTCCTCCCTTAGTTCATAAAACCACGAAAGCACGCGCCCTCGAGACAGCCACCTCACTGCTGTGTGTAGTAGAAGTTGTGTGTGAGCAGATTCCATGGCAGAACACAGTGTTGAAAACAACCTTGATTTTAATAGCTTACTTTTGATATAGTTAACTATTTTGATCGTCTCATCTAATACTTTCTGGAGTTCAGGTAATACTGATTTTGAAATGAGGGCCTCTCTGTGCAGGAAACAGTGTGTGAAAACAATGCCAGGGTTCTTTAGTTTGGCCAGTGAGATGAATCTTTTTAGGCTTCCCGACATAGAGGGGGCACCATCCGTGCAGATGCTTATGCATGATTTCCAGGACAAATCGTAAGAACTGAAATAGCTGACGACATCCTCAAAAATGTCTTGGCCTCTTGTTGTTTCTGGAAGTGGTTTGCAAAATAAAAATTGTTCAGTTATTTCTTCATTACAAACAAACCTGATGAATGTTAAGAGTTGAGCTTTTCCAGTGATGTCCGTTGACTCGTCCAACTTGATGGCAAAACATTTGGCTTCTTTAATGCTAGCTATCACTTGTGACTCAACGTCTTGAGACATATCAGATATACGACGACTAATGGTGTTATCTGACATGGGATTTTCAAAATCTCTTTTTCATATTTTTCGCCAAACATAATATTTACAATTTTACAGCATGCTGGTAATATTACTGACTCTGCAATTGTATGTGATTTCATCTTTTTTGCAACGATTTCTGCAACAGCAAAACTTGATTCTTGAGCTTTGTCAGAAATAGTTGTGATTTTGGTGAATTGTTGAGACTGGTGTGTTTGATCAGCTATAAGCCTTTTAAAATATTCAATTGGTTTCTCGCATAAATGTGAGTGCTTTGTGTGATTGTCTCTTTTGAACTTACTTGGAACCATAGCTTGGTTTGCCAGCTTCTCGCCGCAAACAACACACTTAGGACGTGGTTCTTCTCCAGATGAAATGAATCCGAAGGACAAGTAGTCTTCTTTATACTGGCGCACAACTGATTTAGAAGTAACACTGCCGGTCCTGTGTGTCTTGCTACCAGAACTAGTGCCAGCCACACTTGGTTAATTGTCATCATTTTCTAACTTGCGTTTCTTAATAATAAATCTACCCATGTCTAATAAGCCCTGGAAAAAAGAAGGGTATTGTTAAGTAAATATCGGAGGACATTTTTTGCATTCAAAAGTACATTTTTAAGTAGAACATGCAAATCTGAGACATTTTTCTTCCATACAAAAATCGTCGCAAATGATTTTTATTTTACTCTGAGTCTTGAAGGTTACATTAGGTTAGGTTCAGTTTTGGTTAGTTTCAAGAGTAAAATAATAATAATTTGCGACGATTTTCTAATAGAAGAAAAATGTCTCAGATTTGCATTATCTACTTAAAAATGTACTTTTGAATGCAAAAAAATGTCCGCCGGTATTTATTTAATAATTACCAAAAAGAAATTACTATGAATATTTGTTAACAAAATAACTGTTGGGTCGAGATAAACACTGCATCACGGAGACGAACGTATTGAGCCTCTTAGATCCCTGGGCACGTTAGGCAGACAGCCCGCTTACGCAGATTCCCGTGCTGGGGCCTCACTCGCACATGCGCGTTACCGCATCTTACGGCTGACAGTGGAGATCGACGGACCTAGTTGTGTATGTTGACAATGAGCTGAAGTTCTCGGGCCATTGCGAGAAGAAGGTAAATCGTGCAAATAAATTATTGGGTTTTATAAGAAGGTCGTTCAGATATCTAGACAGTCCGTCCCTCGTAACGATCTTCAGGAGTGAAATGCTTCCCCATCTGGAGTACTGTCACCCTATCTGGCCCCCGAGATATGCTAGGGACTGTCAGTTGGTTGAACATGTTCAAAGGAGGGCCACCAGACTGGTGCCTGCACTTTGGCACCTCAGCTACCCTGAGAGATTGGAGCGCCTGAACTTGCCTAGCTTATACTACAGATGGGCAAGGGGTGACCTAGTTGAGGTGTATAAGCATCTCAGAGGGCACTACTCAGTTGAGTGTCCTTACTTGGGGCTGGCGGACGCTCGCCCCACAAGGGGTCACAGCTCAAGATTGAAGAAGCCGCAAGTCCAGAAAACTGTGAGGGCAAACTTTTTCGGAGTGAGGGTTGTAAACTCTTGGAACAATCTACCAGAGAGTGTTGTGACTGCACCGAGTGTGAGCGCTTTCAAGACAAGACTTGACCAACACTGGAGCGGGCTCAGGTACATTCAGGAGCCGGTGCATGCCCAGTATTTGCCAACAGTGCGTGGCAGAGACATGACCGATCGCCCGGGCGGCTAGCGAGCCAATCTTTTGGCGAAGAAGATAAATGAAAAGGTCAAAGTAATCAGAGACGTGACCGATCGCCCAAGCGGCTAACAAGCCGATCAGTGGCGAAGAGGATAAAAGCTAAAAAGCTAAAAGCTACACTACGGAATTAAGGAGAGAATTTAAAACTGCCATTTGGGCTATTAATGAACACATTTGTTTATTTATTGCATCAATGAAAAAAAGGGAGTTTAATGCGCTCCATAAAAGTACCAGTAATGTCAAAACGTATCCAAATGCTATTTTTTAAAATGCTATCCAAATGCTATTTAAACTCCCGCGGCACACCTACGGTTGCTTCGCGGCACATTGGTTGAAAATCGCTGCCGTACAGGGTAACTCACAATAAATATTATTTTACCTTACTCATTCATAAACAGAAAACAGTTAATAAAGAAAAACAATAGTAAATACTACATCTTAAATAACACTTACATTGACGACTGGCGACTTCTGCTTGACAAAGGGGAGGGTTGAAGTGGGAGGCTACTGAGGCGAGGGTACGGGCGAGTTGTCGGTAGTTGAGGTAACGGTAGGCTGTGGTCTGGAGATGCCAGATGTCGATGGCTGTGGTGCGTTACTGTCAGATCTTTTGAAATATGAGAGCAATGTCTTTTGGGTGGGTTTCATTTTTTTTCCAGCAGGATTTCTTTGTAGTACTGCATTACGTTGTTCCTGCGCTGGAAACGTTCCCGTTGTTCCTCCTCTCCCCTAACAGTAGGTCTGCTAGTTGCCATCTCTTCGACACACTTCTTCAGAGTCCTTAGCTGCTGTAGAACCTGTTCTGATCCTGAATTACTCTCAATCACCTCCTGTGGTCCTGCTAAGGCCTGAGCATAACTCCTTTTCACTACCCCTCCATTCTATCAGCTACTTCCTCAGTTTTAGCAAGGATCCAGCTTCATCTTTTTTCGTCCCTAGGAAACTCATTTTCCTATGGCTTGGAATCGCCTCTCTCACCTTGACTATGCAGTCAGGGCAATACCAGCAACAGCCTTCATTCCTTACCGCATTCTGTATCGTCCTAAACGTTGGATTGGTTATTACAATCTACATCCGTCGTCGCCCCGCAGTGTACACATGTCAACAGATTTCCTGGTGCCACTTTAGCCCCTGATTTCTTACCCCCATGGTTTTGCTGTTGGGGAGGTCAATGATAATAATCCTTATTATTACTGTGATAATTTCTTATGTGTCTTGGTCACAGGGCTTTGGTGTCAAGGTCCCTTTAAGCCCTCGCTGCAGCATTAACATAGGCTTCCTTGACTGGTGAGTAGGGGGGGGGGGTGATGCCAACCACCGGACCCACACTTAATTCCTTCTGAAAGAGAAATTTACCCCTCGTTGGAATGACTTCCTTTATAATCACATCTACTAATTGTAATCCTAGTGAACTAAGATGTATGAGTGATCATGCCCTTGTGGCAGACTAATTTTATTTAAAAAGAATCACTTAGCTGCCCTGCCGGTCTTGACCTCGTTGGCACCCTCATTCTTCTAGTGTTGCAATGCTTATTATCCCTCAGGGATAACAAGCATTGCATTGACTGGGATAATGCCTCCTCAATATTACAGTGTAATTCAATTGACAGTAGGAACATTATAGAATCTAGTCTCATTAAACATACCGAAGCAGTCAACATGAATTTGAGTAATGGCCTGTACAAACTGGACAATTTTGTAATTAAGAAGATTTGTAACCAGATGAGAAGGTTGGGTCACCTTACCCTCTGACCTGACTACCGACCGTTGCTGTGCTTTTTAAAGATTAGTAGGGTCATTACCTAATACCTGACCATTGTGGACCTGATCTCACCCTCCTCTGTATATATACACCCTGTTTTGTACTTCTCCTTAGTCTGTACTCACCCGTGAAGATGTGAATTACACGAAAGCGCTTGGGAACTTCGTGTTTTCTTCTTTCCTTGTGGTTATCAGCATATATATATATATATATATATATATATATATATATATATATATATATATATATATAATCAACGACCTCACCAGCCAGGATTCGAACCCTCGACCTACTGGGTGGGACTAGGGAACGCTACCGACCAACTTGTGGGTTGGTCGGTAGCATTCCCTAGTCCCACCCAGTAGGTCGAGGGTTCGAATCTTGGCTGGCGAGGTCGTTGATTATATGTTCAAAGTCCGCGTGTTATATGCAAACAATATAGAAGAGAAGAACCCATGGGCCAGAGTTGAGGAGGTTGTGTTAATGCCTGGTGCTCCCACCATGATGAAGGTCAGGTTTGGAGAGATCTCCATGGCACAAAAAGCCCTAGAGAGTGGCCTCTGTATCTCCCACTACCATCTGTCAAAACAACAAATTGAGCAGGAGGAATTTTACGCAATAACACCGTGTTGGAACTGTTATAAATATAATCATCTAGCAACAAACTGTCTCCAAAAAGATAAGAAGTTCTGCTCCGAATGTTGCAACAGAGGGCCACACATTCAGAGAATGCAGCAATAAAGATAACCCCAAATGCCTGAACTGTAATGGTGACCACCGAACACTAGCAGCGCGCTGTCCCATAAGGAAAGAAATAATCAGAAATCTGAGAGAAAAAGAAAAGACAAATAAGAAGATAGAAACAGACCCTAACAAGACATATGCAGCAATTGAAAAGCTGCAAGATACCACCTCCAAAGTTCTGAAGAAAGCGAAAGAAAACCCCCCACTGCAACCTACATACCTTAATCTGAGCGAAGGATTACCATTTGGAAAAACGATCAGGGAAATGTTTGCTGCAAACAATCTGCACGAGGTGAAATTTCCAGACGACGCCCCCTCAACAGAAATATTTAAAATTGTCACCGAGAGTAGCCTGGGAGTAACCAAACCACAGGAGCACATAACCAAACTAGGCACAGAAGAAAACGTCATGGAAATAGACCCTATCACCCAAGCAGTCACACCACACCGCAAATCATCAGATTCCACAACTCAGCAAACAGAGAAACCACAACCTGCAAAAGCTGACCCAACCAAAGCGAAATCAAGAAAAGAATCCCACTCTGGCCATCGTGCCCCCCCCATCTTCACCAAGCGATGTGCAGCCAGCAGACCTAGGCAATGAGATCGGCATCCGCTTCTACTCAGTCAACACACCACCTACAATAACAAATGACAGACTTCTGCAGGAAATCAAGGAAGGCACAGTAAAATTCACCTACGAAGATGATAGGGTAGAAGAATCCTACATAGACCAGTTGATAAATGCAGGACTTATAAACACCAAATACAATAAAAT